GTAAGACTCGATCGAGCAATCTCACCAGGAACCTGGCCTATGCGCCCTTACCTTTAATTGAACACCGGAAGCACAGTTGGCTATATCAATCAGCTGAAGATCACAGAAACAGGAATCAATTAATAAACTTGAAAACAAAGAAAATTGTTCCTAGACTTGAAAGTGGAAGGCCGTCAACCATTAATAGACAAACTTCATATCTATCAAATCGAGGAGTAAAATAAAAGAGAGAGAGAAAAAATAATCACGAAATGTTGAAGGCAGGACTAATACAAGCAGGAATTGCAGGTGCTTATGCCCTCTCTCGAATCTTTTGATTCAAGAATGCAGTAACTCCTGGAAAAAAGCCAGGCATTTATACTAAGGAAAGTTATCACTTCCCTAGCAGTTCTCGGCTTGTTATTTTACCTGCAAGTCTTACGAGAGAGCATATTGGCAACCTTTTAACCAAGAGTTTTTAATCCGTTTCCAAAACCCCTGACGCCTGATCAGAGACCACTTTTCAGAGAACTGACGAAAACTCTGACAGTTCTTTCAACAGCTAATCAAACAGCCGTCACCGTAAAACCATATCGCTTGAATAGGTTTTAACTTTTCTCGAAGTTAAATTCTCTCTTCGAGTGCCTATCGCTCATTTTCAAGTACGTCAATGAAGTTTATTTTCTCGCTTATCTTTTCTCTTGGTGAAATCTTACAGGATACTGATGGTTTTTGATCTATTCAAACATCTACGAGAATTTTTTCATGAAAAATAAGGGGATAACAAATTACTCGGAGGAATACAATCAGATGACCTTAGCAAACATCAAATGAGGCAGACAACAAAGATTCAGGTGTAGACAAGGAGAAGAAGCTAAACTCTGTTCATGGAAAGGAGTACAGAACCAAAATAAACAATGAAATCCTAAATGATCACGGTGTGTTTCACCAAAAATCTCTGGCAGACGAACTAATATTTGAACCTGCAAGTAATGTAGTCAAAGGATCTGACAAACACAGTTGGATTATGAGTTGACTAACATCCAGCTGGAATGTGAAGTGATACACAATCAAAAATTCGGTTGAGGAAGCCTCCTAAAACTATCTAAATGGAAAACGGTTCATCTATGAGCATGTAACGATATAAAACTATAAAAATCGCCTGAGACAGATACAATGATTAATGAAAGTATCAACGATCTGCGAAGGTCAATGGAAGGATTGCCGGCTTCTTTTTTTCAGTGAACCATACATTGCTGTCTCTGTCTCTGTCTCTGGTACTGGCATCGATACTGAAACTGGTACTTGTGACGAAATACTGCTAGAAGTATGCCTGCATAAATTACTTGGCTATATAGAAGCGGTGAACATAGGCACGTGCAACTGAACTTATCACAATGAGTGCGCCACTAATTATCATATAATAATATGCGCATTCGGGTACAGTCAGTTATTTTTGCGGTCTTTTGAACATGTAACTGGTCGGTTTATGCTGACGTAATAAATGGGCTTTTTAACCCAAACTTATCGTTACAGCACTGACACTGGTACTGTCTCCGTCACTATCACCGTAAGTGTTACTGTCTCTGTTACACTCGATATCATTGTCACTGCCCCTGTCACTGTCACTCTCCCTGTCCCTTTCCCTGTTACTATCACTATCTCTTTCACTATAATCATGTCCTACTATGTCACCGTCACTGTCTCTGTCAGTCACTGTCACTTTCCTTATAACTAACTCCATCTCTGTCACGGTCACTGTCACAATCCATGTGATCGTCTCTTTAACTAATTTCAATCTGATCAGTGAAGCCTCTGTTTTTCTCTACCATCTACTCGATGAAAAGTTTTTCAATTCGTGAAGGATCTTACCGTAGTTACAGCCCTTAATCATTCGGGCTCTTTTGGGAAGTATTTCGTTAAGTTTTAGAAAAAAATGAAAATGTTCTTTACCAGCCGAAGAGTGTCCGTATTGGAAAAAACTATGCCCTCTGTCTTTAATACCAGTACCATGGCCCAGTTTTTCCCAATAAACGGACCTCCCGGCTGGGGAATAATATACGGATATATGATGTACATGTTATACTCTAGTCAAAAAGTATTATGCACAAACGCTGCGTTTTGATTTTTTAAATTATGATGAACGTTGATTTTTTATTTCCTGTGCAGGATAAAAGTAATTCATGGAGAATTTCATACTTTGTAACAAATTAGACACAGACGAAACAATTAAAAATTTGGCAAATTTTTGTTACGGATAATCTTAAAATGATTTTAAACTTATAACATGAGGGTAATTTTGGGAAACTTTGAAATTTATAGAACAAATCTCTTGACAACATTCTGAGGTTTTTTTTTTGTTTTGTTTTGTTTTTTTTGTCCAATCCAGCAGTCCAGTCCGAATACTTCTCTTTCTGAAGCACCCGCTGCGCCGGGAATATGGTGGCGAAGTGATAGTAGTACTCATTCATTTATAGATATATATGTATAAATATATTTATTTTTAGAAGGAAAACTGTCTTACATTAGCGGTTGGAAATTAAGAAATACTGTACGATGGAGTGCTTAGTAATTTGCTGCCAAAAGAGCCATGATCCAATACCCCTTCCAGATGGAGAGAGTGTATTACTTGGCAGAGGCCCTCTGACCCAAATTACAGACAAGAAATGCTCCAGAAATCAAGGTTAGTTTACTCCTTATCCAGTTTCATCTACCGAAATCACCGATGGATTGGTTAATTGATTACCAAATGTCAAAAAATATTTCCTATAAAGCAATAAACGCCATAATAATGACAAATAATGATTTCCTCTCGCGTATAGCTCTAGCACATAATATTCTTCCCTTCCCTGCCTGGTTACTCACGGACGTTTCATACTCAGCCGTCTCGTAGCCGCCTAGGACCATTCACAGTTTCGTTGTTTCTTACCAATACTTATAAATTATGTTTCCATGGTAAGTAGGTTTAAAGTAAGTTCGGTTTCTTTATAAAATAGAAATGTAATATCAGTATAAACAAGTTTTTTTTTCTGCATGTTGCGCGCGTTTTTATGCACGACCACCGAACGTAAGCCCCACCAGGTAAACTTTGGTTATTTATATACCATCCTGAGTGAACTTACTTCACAACCAAATAATTTAATTATCAAAGCTAAACCAATCTTGTTCTTTTTTCTTAATTTTTTCTTAATGTTTAAATAAAATGAATGCTTTTGATTTCTATTGTGAATCAATCACAAACGTCAAAGTTACCTTGCACTTGGCAAAAATCAAGTTGTTGTTTTTAAGAAGTTCATTAGTATGCACAAGAAAAACTCTTCTTATATCTTTACTTGTTGGACTCTTTTTTGACTTGACATATGCAACTATTGACATCTGTTCATCCTCGTGCATGTGAAGTTTGTGGCAACTACAGGCCGGTTTTGTTGTCAAGCATTCTAAGCAAGATCCCAGAATCTGTGGTAAATGACACAATCCCATGTCACCTTTAACAGAACTACAGGACATTGACAAAACTATTACTAACACAACCTCACAGAAACATGGATAAAAGCACTCAACTCAGTTAAGCCTTTGTAAAGTTCAAAAAGGCCTTAGACAATGTTTCTCATTCCATCCTTTTAACATGACTGGAGGATTAAGACTTTGATGTAGCAGGTCCACTACTCCACTGGATCAAAAGCTGTCTTAAGGGAGGAGCCAATTCATAATTGTAAATTGCACTAAGTCTGACACACTACTAGTCCAATACCATTATCCCCCCCTCCCCCGTAAGGATTGTTCTTAGGACCAACCTTTCTCTTCCTGTTTACAAATGACCTGCCATCTCATGTGAAATACAAATAGTTTTGCTTGTTTGCCGACAACATGACAATCTGCTGCATTGATGGGAGAGTGGTTAAAGCAATATAGCACTGCTGAACAGAGCTCTAGACAAATTGCAATAGTGGTGCCTAAACAACAGACTCACAATCCATCCAGGCAAAAGTGAGGCCATGTTACTCTGTCAAGGAAATCCCCAAGATCCTCTTCCACCCATCACTTTAGGAAGTGTGTTAATTAGTTGGATAACCAAATCGAGACTGCTGAGAAAGACAGTAGATGACAAGCCAACCTGGCTTCCACACTTACTGGGGCTCAAGAAAATATTTGCTAATAAGTTAAACTTTCTCCATAAATCAAATTACTTCTGACTAGCGTTTGCCTCCATCTCAATTGTTAAGTGATTCTGCCCTCATTGTTGTATGGTCTCGTCTTGTGGGGATGCTTCTGTAGCAGTGAAATACTTCAGCCTCTAGCAGGGATCCACTGCAAAGCAGCTAGACTTATTTTTAAGCTTCCCTGTAATTTGGAGCTCATCAAGTACTAAAACAAGGAAAATGGTGGAACCTGTATTTTTACTGCAATCTGCAGTTTTTATAGGTATCCATAAAACCTACCACAAAAGACTACAGACTATAACTGATCACATCATATCCAGACAGACTGTGTGATATATGTCACTTAAGTGCAAAATTCATTCATTATCCATCATGTGCTTTGACTGTGCTGCATGAAAGACTCCCTAGCACCCAAAGGTGCACTACTCTAGAACTGCTTGACAAGCAAACATTGTGAATTAGTCAGCTTCACCTGTTTTGGGAGCCTTCAGCTGAAACTGAGATTGTTAGATAGTTTTAGGAATTTTAGATTCAAAGATTTTATCTACACAACACCCAGATAAAAAGTCCCACAAGCTTTACAGCTTTGATATTTATTGTTTTAAAGTGAAGGATTTGATTTGATGTGGATTGATTTGAGGTTTTCTGAGCAATCCTCTGAGTTTCGATTGTCACTGAATGAGATGGATATGAATCAACCAGCAAATCGTTCAATTTTGGGTATGAATTGACTGAGTACAAATGTCTATTGTTACGAACATGACTGGATGCCCCCTGCCCCTGTTAATTTTTAAACCAAACTTTTCATGTACATCCATACTTTGATATATGCATAGCTGAGAGCATGAGCTGATTCTAAAATGACTTGATAGACACAACTTGTGGACAAGTAATCAGACTATTGACATAAAGGGGGGTAAGTTTGTAAAGAAACTGTAGTGCTGTGTTGGTGGGAGAGTATAACAGGGTACTTTAGTATTATCAACTGAGTTGATAATGTAAATTGGCCACCAATTTTCAAAGCTGACATTTTGAGCATTTGGCCCTTGTCAGAAAGAAGGGCTAACACTCAAAATGTCAGCTTTTAAACTCTGTATGTTGGCCTATTTATGTTGTCAACTCTGTTGATGATACTAAGTTACCAGAGTATTGACATAATTTGACATGTGATTGCCCAAAGGCTCAGAATATTTTCAAACCTTTATGAGGGAGACCTACAGTACTTCAATTTTACTTGAGTGTGCCTTCTTATAGTGAATTAACGAAGTACAAAAACTTAACAGATTTCTTTGCAATTTGGCTTGAAGACTCCCACAATACCAACCAAAGAAATCATTTCCATTTTTCGTAATTGAGCTCTCATGATGGCTTTTGATGTACCACAAATGGCTAAAATTTTTGAAAACAAATTTGACAGAAAAATTGCAAACTAACCGTAGGAATGTCGAAAAATCCCAACATGGTTTCAAAGACCAGTCCCTCAGGATTGAAATTGTTTGGAAGTTTTGTTTGTGAGGTCTCTTTGATAACCTGATTATTAATTCCCCAATTTCTTATGACCCACTAGGGATTTTTAAAATGCTATCTAGAATGGGACATTATTATGGCCTTTGCAATGCCATATGCATGGTACCTCTATGGTGCCAAAATTGAGTGATCAAGTTTGTTTGAATTTGCAGTTCAGCTCACAGCAAATTATGTAAAAAAGGAAGTGCTTGTTACTCAGGTAATTAGATTCAATTTTTTTATACTGACATTTGGGTTTGAGAACTGAAGTCCTATTCAGGTTTTCCTGTGTTAACCCTTAACTCCTAGAAGTGATCAAACTTCTACCTATAATATCCATACATTATCCAGCAAACAGCATACAAGAATACCCAAACTCACCAGGTAGAAGTTGTTATCTTGATCTAATACCAAATTCTCCTAACTTCTTTACAAAGAATTGTGTTAAAGCTGGAGGGGAGAATTAACAATCAGATCTTGGAAGTTTAAGGGTTAATTTGGTTTATTAAAGTGACACATATCTGCTGTAGATTTGTTGTTGAAATTTTTTTCACAATTTTTTTAATGCATTTAATTACCATGCCTGCAGTTTGTTACCTGAAAAATTCTTTCTTATGTTCACCTCAATTGGTGGTCTGTTAGGGTTCTCAGATGTCCTTTTCACCAATAACATGTTGTATGTCACAAAATTTAATTGCTGGTGTGTAAGACAACAGAGAGTAAAATGCATCAAGCACTATATATATTTATTGAAAGCTTTTTATCAGGATTTGGAAGTCTTTGAAGTGACATCTGAGTTGAAGTAGAATATATTTGGTTGGTCATGTTTGGTGTAATATCTTAGTTTATTTATTTTATGTCTTCCTATTGTTTTTTCTGTTTATCATTGAATGCATTTAATATGTATTCATTAATCTATGAAGTTTTAATTTCAAGATTAATAAAACTTTTTGCAAATCAGCTGGGTAACAATTCAAGTTCTGTTGGAGGAGCGAGTCTTAGCAAAGGAGACTCAACATCTCTTGGTCCTGGAGGAACTTTCTGTCTTCTTGGAGACAAGTACTCTCACTTCATCTATTTCAGTCAACTTCAATCATCTGAAAGAGATAAAAATGATGATGAACCTAAAGCCAAGAAAGTTTGTTTTGATACTTTAAGTGATTCAGATGATAATCTCACATCTGAAGACCTAGAGGACATACGCCGTGAATTTGGCCAAGAGATGGTGGAAAAGATACGACCACAAAACAACAAAAAAGTTGATCTTTTAAAAGGGGATCTAGATTCTTGTAATTTGAGGGAGTCATGGAAGGATATTGGAGGGGAGCTAATTGTTTTTACCTGTAGAGGGATGGAAGCAAGTTCTAAGGTATTATAATTGTTAAATTAGGAACCTTCATTGCTTATGTTTTGCAATGATTTGTTGTGATGATATTACCTGCAACTTCAGTGTGCTTAGACAAACACTGAGTATTCCTTGGCTGCAGTTAGTACCTTTAAATTTAATTTTTAAACGTTTGGCCAGATTATGCACTTGCCAGTGTGTTCCAGTCTTTATGACTAGACTAAAATACTTTTTAAGCTACAAGGTATTAGCAGGCTAATAGTTTAATGTGTTTTAAAATAATAAGTTCTTGTCTGTTAGGCTGTTTTTAACCTTCAACAAAGCTCCCAGTGAGGTTTAAAAAAAAAAAGCAGCTGCAAATTGATTAAGCTGAAAACTATTTGCAACCTTATAATTGTATTTCTGTTCCTTTGTGAATTGTTATTTTCCTCTAGAGTAGAGCAGGATGCTGAGCATTTCCCTCACACTCTTGGTTGGTTAGGGAAGGGAAAGGGTGGTAATTGCAAAAAAAGGGTTTTAATGCTTGGTCTTTAAGAGTGATGATGCCTGTGCCAAAAAATCACAGATATTCACCCCTCCCCTCCTTCAGTCTGCCTTGGCTCATCAAATCTTTCAAGCATATTTTTAATGTCTACAAAAAATTAATTTCCTGATACTAATAAAGACAGCTTCTTTTGCAGATTGCTGGTTTTGACTTGGATGGAACACTTATCACCACTCAGTCTGGGAAGGTGTTTCCTACCTCAATAACAGATTGGCAGTGAGTTCAATTGGAGATAAATTAGAACCTAGCCCACATTAGTGTCTTTCTATATTCATAATAAGTGCCTAAATGTATTACATTAACTGTATTTTTGTGTAAACTATTTCCCACATTTCAAATATTTGATATAATTACATTTACCAGAAATATATTGAATCTGCCCATGGTCAAAATGACTTCAAAATCTGCCTTTCAGCTTAGCCTTCTAAATACTATCAAAAAAAGCTCGCGGTCAAGTAGGGAATTTTCTACTTATTGTTGGTCAGACACAAGTCAATTTATTATCCATTTGACTCTTAAGAGCAACTAGCATCTAAAAAAAATATACACCCTCCAATCACACATTAAGGTCACAAGATGATTTTTGGTTAAGCCTTAATAACTGGTTAATAACAGCTGTTTTATTGTTTAGAAACCCTTCTTTAGTTATTTATTTACTCTGTTCGGTCTAGAATACTATGTCCAGAAGTTGTTCCAAAACTGAAAGATCTTTGGCATAATGGATACAAGGCTTGTATCATCATTTTTTCCTTTCAACTAAATTGGTTAACAACTTAAACAGGTTTGGCCATTTGACAGTATGTTTTTCATGTATCATGCTGGAACCTTTGCAAAATTTATTTTTGTTATTTGTTTGTAATTTAATTTCTTCAATTTATTCCATTTCCTTAACAGGTTGTCATTTTTACAAACCAGGTATAGTTGAAAACTTGTATTTTTTCCCCTCAGTGTTCAAAATTGTCTAATCAGTGGAGATGTAAGCTATTATGTCATATGTCTTGTGCATAAGTTTACCAAATGCTTTTCATGACATTGTCTCTTCCATTCCATGTAACAACAGTAAGAGCAGAATTATGGTTTACTCTGACAAAGGATCTTTTTCAGTGTTAATTTACATGAAAAGCTAGTTAATTGATTGACCTATGGAATAGTTTTTGTTGAAAGTAATCAGTTTTTAAGAAAAGGTTTATATCAGTTTGTTGTAATGAATCAATAACTTCATGATTTATGTCATTTTAAATGCCAAAGATTTTCCTGACTTAAGAGAGGTGGATTATGTTAGTGTTCCATTGTTGATCATGGCAGTTAGAAAGTCACATTTAATGATCAGCAGCAAACAGATTGTACTGCTGGTCAAATAGCTTATTTTGATAATTCTCTCTCTATTTTAGATTCTCTCATATGGGTTGTTTCATTCTGGGGTTTTACAACACTAAGTCCTCTGTTTTTCTACCAGCTTGGCATTTCCAAAAAGCAGTTAAAGGTAGCAGACTTTAAGTCTAAGATTGAGCAGATCATTAATTACCTCAAAGTACCTGTACAGGTGAGATAAATTATACTCATGCCCTTGATCTTTCTGATTACTACTTATATTTTATGGTGGGTATTGATAGCTGGTTATTAATATAAATCTAGACTACAGTGTGAGCATTTAAAGAGAGTGGGGACTGGCTTCTAGTTTATTCAAGCTTAAGCAATACTGCTTAAGGAGGACGATTTGCAAGACACCTCAAAATATATCACAAGTGGCCACGAAAGGAGATATTGTCAAAATTGACTTGATTTGACAAAAATTGAATGACTTGTCACAGTTGATGTTGACCTGTCATACCAGAAGTCAATTTGTAAGGCACTTAATTAGAAAATATTCGGCGAGTAACTAGGGAGGGGGTTGGAGATGTTGACGAATCAACTTGATTTGACTTGGATTGAACGACTCATCACAATTGATGTTGACCTGTCATACTGGAAGTTGATTTGTAAGACACTTAGAATCAAATTGACTTCCTGTGACATGGATCAACTTTGCTAATGACAAGTTGAGTCTACCTATGTGAGTTGTGTCAATTCATAAACATTGAATACCCCAATTTAATGCTTACTTCTGTGAATCAACTTCTGGTGACGGATCAACTTTACTAATGATGAGTTGAGTTGGTCCTTGTGATTCGTCAACATTGAATACCCCAATTTAACGCTAAAGTATGTATTGTCTTCTTTTGTGGATTGACATCCGATTAGATGCATCAACTTTACTAATGACAAGTCAAGTCGACCCGTGTAAATCATGTTGATTCGTCAACACTGAATACCCCAATTTAACACTTAAGTATGAATTGTCTTCATGTGCAAATCGACTCATGGTTAGATGGATGGACTTAACTAATGATGAGTCGTGTTGACCCAAACAAATTGTGTGGATTCATCAACATTTATTATGCCCCTGTTTAATGCTCTAGGAGGGAAGAAGGTTCATTTTTATATTTATAATATTCTGATAATGAACTTCCAGCCATTTCACCCTTTAAGAACATGGAAGGTTCATGTAGTCATATTCTCTTTTCATGCTACCCATTTTCACACATTGCTTAGGCCCCCCGACTTCCAGTATGTTTATGCACTATTCGACTTCTGGTATACCATGCTACTCATTTTCACACATTGCTTGCCACCCTCCACTTTCGGTTATTCAACTTTCACTGTATCGATTTGTCAACAACTGTAGATGAATCATAGCACTTTGGGTGTATTGGACATGTATGGAAATTAGATGGCACTTGTCATATAGTCTTCCTTTTCTTGAGACAGGACATGTACTTCCCTGAAAGAGCACCTGGAACTCAACTTCACTTGCATTTGATATTTGATCTTTATAGGTTTTAATTGCAACAGGAAATAGTGTCTACCGCAAGCCGCTCACTGGAATGTGGAAGCACTTAATCACACAGGTATTACTTGTGGTAAACATTGTCAATATTTTCCCAAAAATATTGATATTTGCATGCATTAAGCAAGGCCCATGCATGCAATTCATCCAAATTTACTAAATTTTGTTTAATTATTATAGTAAGTAATCACAAAATTCACTACATTTCCTTAAGCATGACTATTTTTGGTATGAGTGTTTCTTTTAGTTGTGAAATCTACATTGTCTTCCCAACCATTCCACTGGTGAAGAAATGGGAAACTGGAAGTGAGAGTCACGAGCCTCCCTTATTAGGTTTGCCTCCCAGTCCCCAACATCATTAGGTCCTCTGCTTGGGGGTGATACAATGGCTGAAATTTTGTCTGAGTACATAAAGTTGTCAAACAGATTAAACTGGCATATATCTGTTGCCACAGACTGTTGGCTAGAATGACATTTTTTCTTCCTTTTGCTCCATCTATGATCAAAATACACCCCTGTACTGTGGACCCACAAATGAAAAAGAAATGTCAATAAGGAAAGAAACAGGCTTCAAAGTCTTAAAATTGAAAATCACATCTTTCCCAAATATTTTGTTGCACTGCATGAGCAATTTGAACTCTTGTCTTCATTTGATTTTGGCTGCCATATGGCTATAAATTACACACATTTGGCAACTGGTTTACCATGTTATGAGGTTTTACCCATTTTATCTGATTTGACCTTTCTATGTGATATTTTTCTCTCTTCAAGTTGATTTTGCATATCTGTTTTTGCTTTATTTTACACATATTTGGAAGCTAATATTTACCATGTTTTGAGGTTTTACAAATTTCATTTGATGTAATTGACCCTTCTTTCTATCATGCAATCACCTTGTGAGCTTTTTCTCTCCTGGAGCAAGAGTCTTTGTTTTTCATTTCCCTTGCAGCTTCGCAACTGGCCCAAGCACTTTTTAACATAAATGCCAGCTTTGCACACTAGTTATTATGATCTTGCATTTAAAATGGCCTATTTATTACACAAGAAATCCCCAAACAAGCTTGAGTTATTCCTTTGTTTATTAGTTTCATGTTGTATACCAAAAATGTGTAATGAAGGAACACCCTAAGAATTACATCAATAGAAATATCTATTGGATATTATTAATTTACTATTTTTCCTCCCAATAAAAACCTCACTACAATGTTTTCACCTACTCACTCATCATATTATCACATCCAGTGATAGTTTATCTCTTACCAGGTGTATTCTCTTATGTGGGGAGGTACTTGAGGCTTTTTCAATTTCAATGTTTGGTTCGCTCGTCTCTCCATGAATCAATAAGGGTACTTAACTAAGAAAAACAGACATTTATCTTTGTACTAGGCCAATGATGATGTTACTGTAGATGAAAAGGACAGTTTCTTTGTTGGTGGTAAGAGATCTACTGATGTCATAAACAGATTTGGACATTTATGAATTCAATGTGTTTTCCTTTAACATCAAGTAATATAGTATACCATGCACAAGATACTTATCTGAAGAAATTAGTTGCAATATGACATGACAGACTGACTTCAGTACCCAATGACACATCAGAACATATCCCTCTTTCTTTTCATCCTAGAGTCCCTTATTTGATTATACCAGTAAAAGGAAAAACCTTTATGTTATACAACCAAAGCTAGGGAGACCAACTTGAAATCACATTTCTTGTATCTTAGATGCAGCTGGGCGACCAGCTGGCTGGGAGCCAGGAAAGAAGAAGGATTTCTCTTGCAATGATAGATTGGTGACTGGCTTTATTTTTTTTTTATATCAGTTAGCTCTGTAAAACTGTATTTATTTTGTCACACATGTACACAAGGGGACTTCTTTAATACTGGGTAAACAGCAAAAACAATAAAAAATAAACAGCAAAAATTTAGTTTGTGAAACATTATTATATTTTTAGTTAGCTACAGGTGATATTAAAGAAAGAGGTTATTCATTTTGTCATTGGGGTGGGACAAAAAAAATCTAAGTCCACTATGAGGAAGTGAACCCAGACCTTCTGATTACATGTGTCAAAGCTCTGTATTTCTTATGTGCAATTCTCTTGGCAATCTATTTCAAACTTCATCATCCTTGATAACTTTGTGGTATTTGGGTGTCTGTCCTTAGGTTGGGAGGTTTTTGGTTTGGGGGCACCAATAAATTTTAATCAATTCTAGGAAAGGGCTCAATAGAGAGAATGTGGCATTAAGCAAAACTTAGATGAGAAAATAAACAATCAAGGAAAGAGACAAATGATTCAATTTCATCATTTGATCCTTAATAATGGTGATATTGATTGCCTACACTTGTTTTACAATAATTTTCTCAATACCTGAAGAGAGTGCATGTCTACTCAGGTGACAGATAATAGCTGTTTTCCTACAAATGACTTCTGCAACATTTTTCATTGACTTTATAATAAAATTTTTAAAAATTAAGTTTGCAGAAAACATTGGAACACAGTTCCACACTCCAGAAGAATTCTTCCTAAAGTATAAGCCATCACCATTTGAATGGCCAAAATTTCTACCGGTATGTATTCTAGAGGGCTTTATGTTCAAAGGTATTTTAAAGAATGTAATATATAGAGGAGATGAGGGCACATGCATAAACTGCAGGGTCTGAAATTGCAACCAACTGGTTTCCAATACAACTAGAAATTGAGTGTTGGCAACAATATTTTAAGTTTTGGTAGGTCGGACCATACCAAACCTAATTTGTTAAGGACACAGACATTGTACCCTCCCATAAAAAACACTGAATTTCAGACCCAGCTTCCCATTTGATTGTATTTAATAGTTTTTCATTTAGAAACCTTGCTTGGGAATGAGTTTAGAATTAAACAGCTGTGATGGTATGACCCTACCTCCATAACACACATCATATTGTATGTTATCTTCAGAAAAATCTAGATGCTAATGGATCTTTATTAAATCCATCAAATGCAAAGTTGAAGTCAGAAGGTCAAGAGGTACTGAAAAATGTAGAAAATTGACTCTTCTAGAGGTGGGCAGTATTGTTCACTCTTATAAATATGTAGCCTCATTATGACTTGTTAAATCATTTTTAGCCCACCCTTCTGATAAATAACTATTCTGATTTACGTCAACGTAGCTTTATAAGAGTTACTTAACATCCTTTGGCAACGTTATATTCAACAGATACATAGCTTATAGTAGCAACTTTTCCTCGTTACAATTTTCTCCTTTTGTGTGGCAAATGTGTCACAATTGGCTAATATTTTACATATTCGAGTTAATCCCCATAATTGATCAACTGTAAATTGAAACCACGCAAAAGACAGTATTTTTAAGACTTTATCAAAGAACCCATCAGAAATAACTGACTTGCATTTGTCTTGTTACAGCTAATTGTTATGGTCGGATATCCCGCATGTAAGTAAATTGAGGTGAACAGGAAGGTCAGACTTGTCTTTAAACATAACCATTTGTAGAGCCTAACGGACTTCTTTACTTTTAGAGTTGCTCGTAACTATTTCCAAGACAAGCGACTAAAAGTATACACTTCTCTTCATTTAATTTTGCTCATCTGCATTCCTTTCTGTTTTAAATGTAACACAATGGAACTTTCCGTTCGATGTACACTCTTGGCATTAGGAAAAGTCTCTTTTGAAAAGAGGTGCCTCTTCAGTGTAGATAGTATGTGACTGTTACTATGTTTCTAAAAATTTTTGTTGGGCAAAATATGATCTTGTTTCTGTTACTCATTTGATACCATTGACAATAGCTTGCAATTGCTTTTTCCCACGGAGTAGTCATAACCAAGTCGGACTTGATATTTGTTTTGCGAACAGGTTCATAATTTATTACGAATTCTGATTTCCCAGTTTCACTACGGGAATGCTCTGTGGTTCGTTAAATTCGTCATAACTAGGTGAAATGTGAGCGTTAAATCAATCTCTTCCCTAATTTTCTGTTTAGAAACTAGTAACAAATACAAAACAACGTTTTCTGTTCTATTCTTCATTCAGCTGGGAAAACCACCTTTGTTCAAGATTATCTTCTACCGCTGGGTTACGTCCAAATAAACAGGGTAAGACATTAGCGCTAGCTTCATGTCTTTCACTAAAATGGTTCGATATAAAGCGCTGCTATTTCGCGGTTTCTTTGGCATGCTAAGAGATTGCCATTGAAAGCTCTTTCGTCATTCCTTGAATGTGTGCAAGACATTTGATGATTAACAGGTATGGAAAGAAAAGTGAAAGGGCAAAATTCTCGCCTTTCCTTTGAGGTGATAGAAAGCAATGGATCAGATCCACCAGCATCCTTTCCACGAAGAGATGGAAAGAGCAGCTGTACTCCTAGCCTCTTACTGGTATATGTAATTCAAGCCCTTGTTAGTTTACTTTAACCAAGGTAATACATCACAATACGATAGTAGGTAACGTGATTATCTTTGTTCTATAGGATATCCTAGGTACATGGCAGAAGTGTGTTTCTGCTTGCAAGGATGCATTGTTATCGGGTAAAAGAGTAGTAGTGGACAACACAAGTCCAACAAGGGAAGCAAGAAAGAGGTACTGGTCACCACTTTTAATCACTCCGACGTGTGTGCCCTGCAGTCTACAACTTTGCCTCTTAAAATATTTTCTAAAAT